TATTAAAGTCAGTCTAAACAACATTTTTTAAGTTATTGGAGGTTGTAAGAATTCGTTACAGACGCCAACTTTTCACTGCACGCGATTGCTCGAATGCGTTACGGCCTCTGGGCATCTTGCTTTGAGAATCTCCACCTTTATCAAGAATGCATCCACAAACTTCTACTCGTACCTCATATATAATTTCTAATATTTTGCAGATTGTTAGGTATAAATGAAAACAACTGTATCCACGGAGGACACCTGAACCATATTACGTGCTTGAGAGAGAATACAACTTTAACAATCGTTTTTACCATATTTATCAAGTTTTGGCAACTATGGAAATACCGTGTATCTTCTTCAACTAGGATTTACCTAAATAAATCAAAATGAAATGAAATTAATAAACTGGAGTTTTGAATCTTTTTTATTAATCTACGATGTCATGAATTTTGTTATCGGCGATTTTTCGAAGAATTTTTATTCTTTTTTCAAGAATCCCAAATATAATCCATCTAATGCTCCTCTTCTTGGACAATTGTCAAGCGCGTTAAGTCTCAAAGACAAGAGAAACTTTGGTGAAATGGGTCGAAACCTTCTACATATTAATATACAATCGTGTGTATCAAATAATGGATTTCAATCAAACATGTTTTTCCATCAAGGGGAGTACGCCAAGGCTGTCCCCTACCGGCTTACCTTTTTAGCTCACATGATGAGCTATTGTTATCGCCCACTTATTTGTCCGTCCGTCAGTCCGTCCATCCGTCTGTCTGTCAACAATCAGCTTAAAGTATTCCAGTGTGTTATATTATTGATATATGCATGAAAATAATTTTGCTGTGCATCTTTTGATAAATGCACAGTCTGAGCAGTACTATTCTTTAAAAAGGGGTGACAACATACCATCAGTGTGTTCATTTCAATCAATGCTATGATTTTCCAACTAGTTTTCATAATTTTTCTGCATCCAATTAATTATTTCATTTCCTTTAATATTTTGACATACAAAACCGTCTCAGTAGTTTTTAAAGGAATATCAAGTGTAACCCAACACCCCTATTTAGTATTTCTAACGAATAAACTTGTCAAAAACAAAATTTAATTTCTTCGAAGACAACAATCTTGTAATTGTAAATGGTGAACTGTTCTTCTTCATCATTGACCAGAGACATCTGTAATGACCTTCGATAACAAGTCGCTACTACAGTCTCAGCTGTAGTGGCTAGCCCTCATGACTCGGGGGTAGAGCGTCTGACTCTGAGAGCGAAAGGTCCTGGGTTCGATTCCGGTACGGGGCATTGAATTTAGCATACTCTCTTTCGAGTCTAATATCTATCGCCCCCAACGCCTTCTCCTTCCGACGCCAATGTCATGCAATGTTCGAAATATAAAGGCATTCGTGCATGTACTAACCCATTCTGATAATGCACCCAGGCTTCGCCTTCGTGCATTATGTGAATAGGTTAGTACATACACTCATGCTTTTATATTTCCAACATTGCATGACATTGGCGTCGGAAGGGGGAAGGCGTTGGAGCGACCCCTCCCCCCTTCCCAGATTTTTTAGATTTGAAACCGAGCCTAGAATTGAAAGCTCTGGAGCTAATTAAAGTCAAGGTTTAATAATGATAGAAATGATACAATGTCAGTATCTAGTCTACATCAAGCTTAGAAGATCTGATTTCTCATATTATATCTAATTCTATACCTTGTATAGTATCTCAGTATGAAAATAGTTTGAATAAGTGCAAATTAAAGTTTTTTTAAGTCAAAGTCAAGTTTTCTAAAAACACAAGTTTTTTCTTGTTTTTATTATTGGGAATGTTGTGCTGAGATATGTTCAGAATGCACCAGAGAGGGTTAAATTTGCCCCCCGATCCCCCTAGATTCCGCGTTGCGTGCAGCGCAGCTTCACGCACGACCCATTCATACCCAAAAGTCGCCCCCCTTGGCAAATCCTTCTGATGCCCGTGCATGATACATGATTCCTCATTCCTTAAATAGTTTTCGTGAAATAAAATATGTGCTTTGGGAATTCTTAGAGACAAGGAATGATATACAAGCCAAAATATTATGAAATTGAAACAGTTTTTGTTTTTGTTTAGCTTGCTCACGAGATCCGATTCTCTCTTTAAGCTTGTATTGATTTGAGCCTTTAAGTATACAGGCCATTATGAACTTTTCAAACAATATGTTCATGCAAACATTAGAGTTAACTTGACACCTTGCACTACGCAACAGTAAAATATATTAAGTTAAAGTTTAATGATGATATATTCGTCTGGAATATACTAATAGAATATAATAATGTCGTCTGGAATATACTAATAGAATATAATAATGTTCAAAATGATAGTACAGTATTTACTTATGAGTATTTATAGAATAAAAAGCTGCTACGAGGTACGAATGAAAAATACACTATTTCTCAACATCAGGGCATGATCCATAGTTGCCACAATTAATATATATGACACAATCTATTTCCAAACACCGCTGAAACATAATGGCTCTACAACGACCATTGATAGGATGCTAAATTAACAACCATGCTAAACATAGTCTTGTGCCTTTGTAAAATTCATGCACACGAATACCTTGCGAATTTGTATTTTTTCATTGTGCGCCTTCTACAAAACTTGAAACTTAAAAACTCAACCTGAATATATTTTGCAAGTTCATAATTATAAAACTATTGTAGAACGACATATATGGCAAATGTTAAACCCATACATGTAGGGTTCACTTATGCTATTCACAAAAACCGGCACTTATAAAGTATTCCATTCTCAAAATATCATAATTTTGATTATTTTATTGTTTAGTTAAACAATGACTTCAAAATACATCCAGGATTAAATACGCCTGTTACTCAAAGAACTCCATTATTGTTTTGTCATTCCTGTGCATGTGTTGTAAAGATTGCAGACCAGTGCATCATCACCAACTCAGTCACAAACTGTGATCTCCCTGCTTAGAACAGAACCAAAGTATCCAATTCATTCCAGTCAGTGTAGGAACTTCTGTAAAGACTTACCTTACATCTGAGGGGTAGGCTGTTCAGAGCTTTTTCACACAATTCATCACACACGCTGATTTTCATGGTTCATTGCATGCCTTCATTTTGAGTACTGCTTGTCGTGATATGCTGAGGATTATCATTGATTTCTACCATTGCAAAGTGGCTAGGTTCATCAATATGTTTTAGAACTTTTTAGAACTCGAATAACTGTATCTATCTGTATCACATCACGGATATCAGCACCGGGGCCAACCCGTCCTAAGCGTATCTTTCAGGACTCATCGTTACGAGCCCCATGTGCTGTTGAGTTTGAAGTTGAATAACTATAATACGTTGGGTATCGACTCATTTTTAGGTTAAAGTTAAAGAAGCATGGTTATGAAGAAGGTGTACGTGAAACGTGTAAAATTATGGTCCCTTGTGGACTATTTTCACCTCGCTGGCTTTTATTTGCCCATTTAGGTATGAAGGTTAGAATAAGAAAGTTGTAATAAGGTCCCCGTTTTAACCAATTGAAAGGTAGACAGCAATTCCTGGGCGTCATGACATTACACGTTTACGTTTAAGTTCTCTCAAATGCATGTAACTTTACCTCTCTTTTTGTCAATCAGAGCCTGGTGTAAGATTGTTGTTAAGATGTTCAACTAAAAACATTTGTTTAAAAAGTCCAGGAATTGTGATCCCGAAAATATGGGCTGGTGTCAAACCATATTAGATAATAATATTGCTCCAACCCTTCGAGTGGTTCAAAAAGGTATGTATGCTTTTATACTGAATAATAAACAATGATTTCTCTCAAAGAAAATTACTGAGTTCTAGCATCTAACGAAGCTGATGTCGGATGTTAGTATATGCCGAACATAAAATTAACTATAAGTGTATGTACCAATGTATGTTAAGTACGAACTAAAGGATGATACGGGAAACGGAAAACTCTGTTCCAAAACAACCCTTTCAATTATGGTAGAATATTCTAAGTGGATGGAGCTGTCAATGCGCGGAACAGTTGTATGAAAGGTTCAACATCCCATGGGAATGGTTGTCTCACTCGAACCGTCTGGTTTAACGTAGAGACCCAATTCATCAGGACCATGTTCAGGTAGAACCCATACTTCTGGACCAATGATGTAAACTATCAGCATCCCTATACTAATGGTATTCGAGCGTTAATTCAAACGCACTACCATGTCATTGTGAGTCGAACGAGTCCGAAGTTTAATACTTTTGACAAAATAAATAGGATACTCCCAATTCCTTATGAAGAAATATGGGAACATCATATGACACATCATACGTTTTGTATCATTTCCATAACTAAATTCTGTTATCAAAATTTTACCAGGATTTGTATATTGCGATTTCATAATTGAACATAACTCTAATTCAGTTTACCTTAAGAAGACTTAGAAACAAATAGAAAATTTCAAACAAACAAATTGTTGTTTTGAAGCAAAAACAAGATAAGTTGCAACATTTGATTGACGATTATATTCATTTTGACAAATGTTTGACAATGTAATGCTGTCATTCATCCACTATTGGTAATTCGATGGCATTGGATGCATATGTGCTCTTTTTAAAAGCATATATCAATGTGAGTGTCATCACTGTTCCACAACTAGTTACTTTTTCGGAACGTCAATGTAACAAAATGGATGAACTTCCTGGATATGGGTTTTTGTTTTCTCATTTTAAACTTACGTATAAGTCATTATAGTCATTAAGTTGCGATTAATCATTTAGTTAGACAGTATAGTCTAGCTTTTAGAAATACTCTCGGTTTGGAATTTAATTTTTAAATAAAGCTGTAATTCATGTATTTAGACCATCGCCTTTATTACATTGACGTAAGTCGTCAAAGTAACATTCATTGGCATTATATAAACGGACTTTCGTCAATGTAACAAAAACGAGGGTCTAAATATATGAATTGCATCTTCATTTACAAAACAAATCTCAAATCGAAGAAACTTATTAAAACATATTTTCTATTTTTGTGCCAAATTATAATCTGCAAATTATAAGTAGGGTTAAATCGAGAAAAGAAAAAAACTCAGGAAGTTCATCCATTTTGTTACATTGACGTTCCGTCTAAGTAACTAGTTGTGGAACATGCAGTGGTCATTTTGGCAGTCAGCTAAGCTCGAACACCATATATTATAACGAACTATTAATTGAGTATCAGGGATGGCCTCTTTGAAGCAGTGACGTTGTTCAAGACTGCTGCTTGTCCAGCAGTAAATTCAAACATACAAGAGTCCTCTGTGTAATCCATAAAGTTTGTAACAGGGTCTTTGCCGTTATAAGGAGGCACAATTGTGTCATTCGTGTCACCTTTGCACGTATCCCGACCAATGTCCTTACATCGTAAACCATAGGTCACCTCTGGTGGAGTGTCTGATACACCATCGCCTCCAGTTTCATCGTCCGCCGCGTGGCATTTGTAATCGTGAAAAGTGTGATATAAACCTAGATAATGCCCAATTTCGTGAACAGCCGTATAACCTTGCGTCCAATATGGGTACTTATTGCTCCCTTTTACGGCGTCATGATTAATGAACACAGCGTTGCGATAGTCGTCCTCTGGAATATCAAGATAGGGTAGTGTCGCCCATCCGCCAAAACCACCAAATGGCCTACAACTAATGAGATTTAGTGTTGTGGCCGGGTCGACTACGACCTCCTTCTTTATGACATCAAAATAGTAGTCACAATAGAAGAACCAAGTCGTATTATCAGTGTATGAAACATTATTTAAAGTGAAGCGAATGCGGGTATCCACGCTGTCTTTGGACACCGCACCGGAATATGCGTTATTTAGACTGGCTATTTGAGATTCGATCCGTGCTCTATCAAGCTTACCTCCAACATTTGGATATTGGTAATATTCTTCAGAGTATATAACATGAAAGTTGATAGGTATCGTTCTAAGGGGCTTGTTTGATCGTTTGTTGCGTTTTTTGCCACGTCTACGTTTTGATATTTTCCACGGCTTTATTTTTCTTGGTATCTTTACTTTCCCCTTCGGTTCTTTTGTCCCACAGCGTGTCACTGAAAGAAGAACACACAAGTCCCATTTAATTTTGTTGCAGAAACTATATTATTATCCTTATTCATTTAGGACTTCTAGCCACACAAAAGGACACTGGATATCACACTGAGATTAAAATTTCGATATACATCGTTTCTCTTATATTTGGAATATTTTTACAGGATCCGCAATGCTATGCGTTCAATCGTTTAAAATATGTATGATCACAATCAATGAACCCTTATTTAAATATTGCCCTTTTGCCACTTGACGTAAGTGTTATGTATGGGAATCAAGGGCAGAAAATTTATTTATTTATTAAACTTATTTTAATTTATTTGGATTTGATAAATGATTGGAAATGCTTATAACTTGCATTCATGGTGCGGAATATTTTTTCAGAGCACTTACATGTGCCATCTATATTAAAGATCAATTTTTAGCTTTGCTTATGGAGCGAAAAGAAAAACTGTAGAAAACACAAATTGATGTTGATTCTTATCAATTTACCTAATCATTATATGCAAATCAAGTACAGGTGACGCGAATATCCCAAGTATAATACAGTATGGCATTGGATTTCATTTTTTCCAAGAATTTCAAACTGAGTTTGAAGGATAGTAAGTATGATTCACCCAAACTGGGTGGAGAATATGTTTTAAAGGAGAACTAGCTCCAAGAATGCAATTTCGATATTCTGCTATATAGGTTTTTTTATGTCGTGAAAACAAATTTCAAAATCAAAACGTCTGCCATTTTTTCACTTCAAAATTTGAATCGCGAGCTTTGGTCTTATTTCGAAACAAAAAATTCAAAACACACAAGAATTGATCAAGATATTAGTTCAAATCTTTTGGATCGCTGATTATGAATTTATAGTCATTTGTAATATCAGAAAATAACGACGTCTTCAATGTTATCCTCGATCAAGGTCAAGGTCGAACATCGAGTTTGAATGCTATGATATGTTTTCCAACAATATAAGCCCTGCCATGTACCCTGCCCCTTCATTTGCTACGTACACCAGAGGCTAAAAATTTCGATGCATTATCTAAACATTAATAAAACTAGATGTATTGATTAAATTGGACCGTTAATGCCTTTATCACATTTGCTCAGATTTTCACTACGGCGCCTGGCCGATTGAGTAATATTTTATTCAAAATTAAATACAATAATGAACAAAACACTCAATCGGCGGGGCGCCGGCCGGTGGTTTGGAGCAAATGTGACCCAGGCATAACCTTCACAGGCCCACTTCGTACTTCTTGATAATAATGGTATAATTTTCTCCCACCTGATCTTGCTGAATATCCCTTTCGTGAGAAAGAAGTTCTGGAAATAGTTCCGTATTCTGATAATATATCGACTTCAGTGTCTGGAACTACTTTTAAATCTGGCGCTGATGCATCGGACGAAAACACCGCCTGACCTAAAATGTATATTTTTAAGTCTTGCAGAATACGCTTTATTTTCATCGGATCAGGAAGTCTGAGTCAAAAGACCTACACACAAAAATTGTTCAAGTGATGACAAATAATATTTGAATGATTATATTTATTTTCTAACTTTGCATGGGACCTTTAAATCAATACACTAAGTAGTGTACATTGGAAAACGATTATATAAATATACACTCCCAACAAGATATATAGATATATATATTTTAGATTATTGCTAAATTAAATGGTCGACATGCATGCCTGGTTTTTAATGAAGTCAACATGAACAATGGAGTGGCGTGATCTCACCTTTTCTTAAAGCATCATCTATACCCACCACAAACTTTGGCTTTGGTACTTTAATATTTTCTGAAATACAAAACAAAATGTCGATACCTGCTAGTTTATGTTTTATCAGTTATTGGTACAGTCACTCGTCGTCACAAGCGGTAGGGGCTCTTAAAGATGCAACAATTATTGCAGAGGGGCCATTCAACGATCATGGATATTTCATCAAGACTTACATCTATTTTTATTATCTACAAAGAAACCTCCTAGATAAACATTATTCAGCTGATATTCCTCTTGAAACATGATGGATCTTAAAAATATAAAAGTGGATTTCCCCTTTTTGAAGCTTTGAACTGAATTTACACTTCTTAATGTTGAAATTGGCAGTTTATCCACATACATTTTAAGAAAATAGGTAGACGAAGCTCTCTTTTAAGAAGTGAAGTCAAACGAATGCAAAGGGTAATGTCAAAGAAGATGTAAAGCCACATGTTGCATTGATAGCTCAGAAAAAGTTAAAAACGATTGTATTTTATTTTCTCTCTCTAATATGCCTTGTTGCCCCTTTAAAGGTGGGTGTCAATTAAGTCATAGTCTTTGGCGGCAAAGTGTTAAGGCATGCAAATCACTGATAAATGATCAAATTGTGCATTTGCAATTCAACTATATTTCACAGATGTGTACATATTATCCAGGTACATCGATGGAAGATAACTTGGCTGAATATATATCAGTAAGCTAACACAGCAAAATAAATATTTATTAATTATTAATATTATAGAAAACAACAGAGCGTGCAATTGTACTATTGCAATTAATTTTATCTACAATTATTAAAGTTATTCATCTGTTTTATAGTGCATTGTATTGTAATATTGAAGATAAATAAATGTAAAATATAAGACTTATAGTATTTCACATCATGATGTTTTCATAATAGTTTTGCTTAATTGCAGCCTCTAGTATTATGGGATTCACTGCATTATTATCTAAGCGTGAAGTCTGTCTCATTTGCTCCGATTCATTGGCGGCGCCCAGCCGATTGACTATCTTGTTCAAAATTGTATTCTGTTTTGAACAAAATACTCAATCGGCCAGGCGCCGACCGATGAATCGGGGCAAATGTGGCTCAAACATTATGTAAATTGTATTTTACTCAATTTTAGCAGTTGCAAATAAACATTTTAATGGGTATACTGGTACATATATACAGGGTGTTCCAAAAGTAACAGGACTGGTGCTGGCATTTTGTCAAATATGCACCAATCGTCCTCAAAATTTTACATTATCTACTTTCATGTATCGTCACTAAGATTGCAAAGTTTCGACAAAATATATTAAACTCGGGTAGAGTTATGGTTGCTATAGTAACATGACATCCCAATACCCGGGGCAACATTCCACGCAAAAAAATTACAGAGACATTAAGCATTTTGTACATGCCATATCATTTTGTACATGCCATATCATTTTGTAAATGTCATATCAACATTGAAATGCAACACCTGGTGGGAATTACATCATTTGATATTCCTATGTATTCCCTACTTAGAAAAATAGGCTCCTCTTTGGTCAGTACAAGAGTAGTACTCTGTATCCTTGACCCAAACACATGAGTGAACCCATCTGAGGATAAGTCACGCAGGGTTGATTGGACAATTTGGAGAAGGTCATTCTCATCTTTAAAGGTCCTACAGCACTGATAAGCATTCCGTTGTCAATATAAGTAAAAATTAGATATTGCATGATCGGAAGAGTATGATGCATGGCTTTAGACCTCAAGACCTAGCTCCTCTATAGCTGGATGGTCTTTAATGGTGACCTGAGGGCAGGCGCGCTATCAAGGTAGATGACTGGCTTCAAATTGGGTCTTTTTCAAAAACTCAACCGTGAATTGTTCGGACTGTTATATATAGTGATATTCAAGGAAATTGAATAAATATTTTTATCATGAAATTGTACTTGAATCTGAATTGTATAGCAACACCTTTACAACAAAGCAACTAATAAAATAAACAAGGAATGTTGTATTATAATAGGTGAATAAGATACTTTCTTCAGTAATACAAAAATGTTAGATATCACATTTTCAGGAAAAAAAGTTGCCCCGGGTATTGGGATGTCATGTTACTATAGTAACCATAACTCTAACCGCATTTCATCATTGTTTCTGAAACTTTACAATTTTAGTTGCAATTCTTCAAAGTACAAGTTGTGAAAATTTGAAGACACTCGGTTCAAAATTGTCGAAATGCCAGCACCAGTCCTGTTACTTTTGGAACACCCTGTATGTTATTCTATTAACACTTGTACCTTCGTTAGGACCTTGCCGTTTTATTCATGTAAACAATGGTAACCGGACAACTCATCCCCCAGACAACTCATCCCTGGACAACTCATCCCCTAGACATCTCATCCCCCTGACAGCTCATCTCCTGGACAACTCATTCCCTAGACAACTCATCTCCTGGACAACTCATTCCCTAGACAACTCATCTCCTGGACAACTTATCCCCTGGACAACTCATCCTCTGGACGACTCATCCTTTGGCATGTTTGAGTAATTTAATGTTATATTATCAATTCATATCTGATATTCAAATGTTTTGGACTATCAGAGAGTCAGTTTTACGTTTCGGAGCCTCGATTTTTATTTTTCCCTATTTCACGAGTTGTAGACAGAATTCCCACGACAATTTTATCGTATGTCTAAGAAAATGTACATGTTTTTAGAACGGAACATCAAAACTGCCCTTCTAACCCGTTCATTTGTGTAACAATAGTGAGGTATTAAATCAACGATTCTGTTGTCTGTACTATTTGTTCGTAAACATGTACATTTTCTTCAACATAATGATACTGACACACGTTTGTGGTAAAAATGTTTCGGTAATCAGCGTGATCAAGCAGAGTACCAATGACGAACAAAGACTTTCTGAAGGGGAAATCTGGAAAATTGTTAAAAAGCAATGATATTGTCAATACAAGGAGATTCTCAACCAATTAAGCTCTGATTTGTTTTTATAAATCTTTAATTTTACTTTTAACACTCAATTTCAATATTATATTAATATTGATTGAATAAGCCCCTTTGAAGTTATGATGTTTGTTGTTCGATCACAGCTCAAATGTTCTTTAATCAAAATATTATTTTTTCGCAGCATTCACAGATGAAGCTACTAAAGTTTCCAATCATGTTATGCAGACATAAATATTGAGTCGTGTAATTTAAGGACTAGAGATGAGAGTTTGAATGGCACCGTTTGACTGTTTTATTTGTTTCAGTAAAGTGAAAAATAATATTTTGAATGATCTAAGTTGTACATAGTATTTATCAAATACTTATTTTCAAGAATGATCTAATTAGTTGTACATAGTATTTATCAAATACTTATTTTCAAGAAACACTTAACAATTTAGCTTCATAATAAAATAAAGTGGAAAACAAAATTTTCCATGTTATTTTCCCATAGGGAAAACTCTTTCAGCTAATTTTGGTCACCCATAATGGATATCTTTAAAAAACCCGAAGGAATCACTGATTCCTTTAAATTGATTAACTGTATGTCAAAACTCAACATATTGATGCAAGAAAAATTAAAAAAGTAGGGGTGGAAGGGGGTGAAACGTTTCTGAAACACATGAGGGTGGGTTGTTTGCATCTTTCCTGTCTTAAAGTCAAAATTATTTTACCATCTCTAGGAGTGCTTTTCCTGGAGGTAATGCATTGGCCTAACATATGCAATTGATTAAATCCTCGGAAAATAGCCAAAATCCAACATATGACTGTCCGAAATCTGTTGCGATACTTTCCCTCCTCCTTTGTTTCACTTGCCTAATCCTTCAGAATTAATTAAAAAGTTATATATCTTCCAAGTTGAAATTATCGTCCAGAATCCCCCGCCGTTGAAATAACACAAAGGCGAAAATCATAATCAAAAATAAGTTTCTTGAACTCGGGAAGAAATTGAATAACTTAATTACAAAAAGTAAAAAGCATAACTAGTGCACCTTACTCCAAGAAGAAAACAAATTCAAAATGTCACGACTTGCCATTTGTTACAGACACAGAACTCCGATCGCCAACTGTTGGACGCCGTCACAAAAATGTTGGAGCCATAATAATATTTTAATAGTGGTGGTGGTGACATAACTAGTTGGCTAGCTTTGTCCATAAAATGTCCAGGTATGTCTCTTAAATAAGATGCAAAATGCACATTTGACCTAGCTAGAGCCAACAAGGAATGCATATTGGTAGAAAAACTGTAAGTAGTACATGTACCAACAAAAAGTTCTAAAAAGCAAGCCGAATCTCCTGTTTGAGAACCCATTTTCTTACTATTGAAAATGGATTCAAGCAATACTATCCAACCATTGTGGGATCCACAGCCTTTACTATCCTTTTGGAATAGTTCAGATTCTGATAAATCAGAATACTATCCAACATGAATCTACTTGTTGAAACATGATCAACTTGAGTTCTTCAGCAGAGGTGCGTTGACTTAACATGGGGATATACACCATTGACCAATGACTTAGCATCAGTATGCCATCATCACCATGTTGAGTCAATGCATCCTCAACAAGTACATTCATGCGGGATAGTATTGCTTGAATCCATTTTTAAAAGCAAGAATAGGGGTTCTTAAACAGGACATATAAGCCCTTTAATAGTAATAGGCCTTTTTCAAATGTTTGGTTAGTATACCATGTAGTGATATATCAAAAATATCCTTGAACTTGAACTCCACTTATTACATACTACTTTATTTACTTTATTTTATTTACAACTAGTATATATTATTTTTCTTTTATATCAACCCAAAAAATCTGCTCGGATGCAGGCTCCTCGGGTCCTTTGATTTGAAGCCTGGTCATCAACTAAATCACTGGTGATCCACTCGATTACGCTGGTTACCGAAACAGATCTGCACTTTTAACCCAAAACCGTTTATGTAACTAAGCGAGGAATTAAATCGACGATTCTGTTATATCTTCTGAGCTATTTTTCGCAAACATGTACATTTTCTAAAACATATGATACTGATACACGTTTGTGAGAGAAAACGTCGTGGGGATTCTGCCTAGAACGCGTGAACTAAGGAAAATCGTACTTTTGACGTTCCAACATTTTGTTACCGAAACGACCAGTTTTGGTAACCAGCGTGATCGAGCGGATCACCAGTGTAAATAGAATGCACATAACTGCAGGTAATAAATGACAGGTTAATAATGCCATGGTCACATGTGCTCCGTTTTTCAGTAGTTTTCAATTGAGTTTTTGTTCAAACTTGCAACTTGCATTCAGTTTTGAACAAAATACTCATCGGCCGGGCGCCGGTATTGAAGATCGGAGCAAATGTGACCATTTCATATAAGAGAATATGCTTACTTTTTGTGCCTTTGGAATTTTTGTTTTTTGGCTGCTTCCATGGATGATGTTCTCCGATGGAACATATCGGTATGACAAGCCCAAGAACGGCCAGAGCGACTATAAACCCCGCTTGTAATCCAGATCTCATATCTGTTTGTAGCGCAGACTCGTACAATAATCCCCGTAAGCCTAATTATTAAGTCCGGTGATTTCAAATCCTACGCCTTGAACGCGATACAGTGCACATATTCAACTGACTTCTCAACCGTGTCAATGAATAAAGAATACTTATTTACAGCAACATATAAATATTCTTCCGTGTCTTCCGTCAATGCGATGCTCAGACTAGACGATCATTAATAAGAAGGAGCTACCTTCCAAAGGTTACTAGTAATCAACTCTCATTAATTGCGGTTTTGATTTCCGGTGGTGTAACAACCCATATCTTATCTAAAGCGTATAGTACTATTTATTACATTTTCATTGATACATTTTATGAATTGTGAATGTAGTAATGCTAGTATGTAAAAGTAAGCAAATAGTAAGATTAAGGTGTCACATTGACTCCGACTGAGAGGATGCAACTTACTTTATGGCATGTTATGCGCCAGCCTAATATATTGCAGGTAAAACGCGAGTAATATAATAGCGGATTGTAGTTTTAGGCGTTTCTTTAAAAACCCACCACCAAAAATGATTCATTCTACTTTTTTATTTCTTTTTATTTAAATCATTTAGGTAACTCGAGATCACTGATTTATTACATTTGTTACATGTAAATAGCACTTAGTTAAAATACCACAAGCCGATTTCAGTTTATGAGAAAAGTTTTTGCCTTAAGGAAAGGCTTGACGCCCGCAATTAACCTTTTTAACGCCGTGACTTTACGCCTGTATATGATATTTGAACGCCTGTAGAATTAACTTTTTCACGAGCGTAAATTACGCCTATACGGGCGTAATTTACGCCTATACGGGCGTAATTTACGTCTGCTCGGGCGTAATTTACATCTGCACGGGTGTAATTTTACGTCTGTACGGGCGTAATTTAACATTTGCACGAGCGTAATTAACGCCTACACACCCGTAAACAACGCATGCATTCTTTATACTAATAGGCCAACCATATTCACCAACCTAAATAAAATCTTAGTAGGCCTTACAGAAGTACCTTAGTTTCCATAGATTTAAAAGTTGTATTAGTTCTATTATAGAGAAAGAGAGAGAGAGATTATCCTATATGAGGTTAAAGATATTGGGATTATCCCGAGACAAATATAATATATCTGCCCGAGGGCCGTATAGACAGGTTCCAATTTCAGAATATCTCAAGGGAAAGGGTTTTTGAGGCATTTTTTAGAAAAAGCAACAGACCTATTTCTTCTGGATCAGTTTTTCATGCTGATAAAGATATTAAAAGATGACAGCTCAACGGGGTGGTCATGACACTGAATTTTAGCGTTTTTACCCCCCTAGGAAAATATTCTAGGGGGTACTATGAAACTAGTTCATAACTCAAAGGATATATAAACTATTGTTCTGAGTTCTACAGCATACATTGTTAGTACAGAGATGAATACTACCCTAAAGTTATAGGTTGATATCTTTGTTGGTTTCGGAAAAATACAATTAATTAGAAAAAAATATGCAATTTTTGTCATTTTTTCTTGCTTATTTTATATTTGTAGCTTCAAGCAAAATATGATAACTTAAACAGCTCAAAGTAGTATTCTAACAACATTCCTAAGCTATGTGTGATATTGTAATACATCTATTATAGTGATGAAGTACTATTTTGTAATTTTAATATGACTTTATAGTGCCCTACCCCTGGTAAATAGAAGAAAGTTGGTGTAGTTTTCTTCTGGTTTTATAACATTTTATTGTCTTCTTAGTTGAAGATACAATCAATTCTGTCAGTTAACCATGAGAAGCTTTACAATGGTTAACTATTCCCATGAATAGAGGGTTGGGACCTCAAAAATACTGCTAAGTGGCATCCTTGGGCAACCCTCTTCAGAGCATTTTCCTTATACTCCGATAAAATCTGCAGGGGATACTATAAGAAACCTATATATCTAAGATACTAATGAAGATACTGAATTCAAATTTTCAGGATTTGGTCCTGGTATGATAGGTAATCTGTATGACAAAAAGAAAAAACTCTGTTGCCATAGTAACAAGAATACGACACTATTTGTTTCCTAAGAAATGTGTTTTAAGAGGTTTTGTCATTCTCTTCATATTTTTAATTCTAAATATGTCTACAATGTGGGATGATTAAAATTATGGTAAAGTAATCTTTTCTTTTGTTCTATTGTTCTCTAAAACAGAAGTTGCTAGGGCGACACATAGATCATAGAAAAAATCCTGAGATGATCACTCTATTTGTCAGGAAATTGAAATGGAAACTGAAAAATGAGTTTCTTTCTACTGAATAGCAATTTGGTAGACCATGGCTGACACGCACAAGAGAAAACGTCTATCAGTTCTATGTCATTTTGTTGTTATTTTTATTTATTTATCGTGCTCTGGGATTTATAACACCCAATGCTGAATCTTTCCCAACTGCAAAGGAAGGCAAGATTTTAATAATGAACATTCATATATCTCAACAAATATGGCCCAAGATTTGGACAATGATGATGAAACTCTGAGGGAAAATTAGACGAAACATTAATGTGAGTGGTCCAAAAATAACACTTACATGTTTTGAAAAAGTTATGCTCTCGGGTGAATCAGTGCTCATTTAAGGATAGTCTGAATCAGGTGAACTTTTTAACCTAATTGTACCCCTCCCCCAAAACCCCCAAATTTTGACAATTGTCGAAAAGTGGCAAACAACAATTAAACAAACATCATTAAAGTTCAATATGGCTATTTCGCTTCTATGTCATAATGATATGGTACGATCTCAGGTCAATCAATAAAGTTCACAAGTGACACTCTAACTTATGAAGAAAATATTATTGTATTTGAAGAGATGACAAAAATTTGGTGGAAATAATTTTGTCACTCCTGATTTGACTTGGAAAGGTTCAGGTAAGTAATCACAAACAATTTCAGACAGTTATATCTTTGATTATGACTATTTTCTGACCATGAAGACAGGTATACAGGGATAATAAAGTCAATCGGACTCCGAGATATTTCACTAGCAATCAACCCATCAATATATTTTTTCAAAGTTGTTGACCTCATTTTCACCAAAAATGACATCATTTTAACAATGTTAACAATTCGGTGTCTTTAAAGTCCCTGGAGCAATCCACTTTTCTTCTTAGGAAATAGAACATGTCTCAAAGCATATTCTAATTATGCATTCAACAATATAATTAAAGGTTGCATCTTTGGTAAAAATTAGGTCAATTAATATCACTTAGGTCTGATTTGAATCATAATATTTACTTTTCTTGAAGATAATGAATAGATCTAAAAGATACACCCATGTTCATGGTCAGAAAATATTCATAATTCAAGTTAGAATTGTCTGAAGTTGTTTGCGATAACCTACATGCTCCTTTATAACATTATTATGTAAATACAGTAGAACCTGTGTAAGTGGAACACTCTCCGTTCTGCCACAAAGCGTTCCATTTAGAAGGTGTTCCACTTATGGAGGTTTTGGGTTCGCAGGGAACATACAAGATCAAATATAGGATTTATATGTATCATTGAAAATATGATTCTCCCTTCATTACAGGGCAGGTATATACCATTAATAATCCATTTATTTTACTCAAAAAGGAATCTGACATTCTTAATCCTCCTCATTCTGCCAAAAATGTTTTCTGACATTCTTAATCCTCCTAATTGTGCCAGTCTCGGGTACAAAGATTAGGCAATTAAGTTTTAAAGACTTGTTCCTACTGCTAATAATTCAATTGTTTTTAAATGACATTTTTAATCTTACTTATTAAGTTTGAAACAAACAGCAAGGGATATTAATTAGTGGTAGCATCACGTGTCCAGTTCTACAGGAGGTTAATCCAATTTTCTGAATGATAATCTTATGAAATCCTAATTTGCTGATTATCAAATTAATTATTAGTTGCATCACATGTTGACCTCTACAGGAGGTTAATCCATTAAAATCCATTAAAGTCCTAATTTGCCAATTATCACAGTATTACCTGTTTTCATACCCAGATATCATTGAAGGAGATTAATTCTGTTTACATATATCAATATTGAAACCTATGGAAATTGACTGTTCCACTTAGCAGGTTAATTTTTCAATATGGGGTGTTCACTGTTCAAGTTTGGAGGTGTTCCACATACAGAGGTTCAATTAACATTAAGTCAATGGGTTTTTAAAACAGGACTTTGAAAAGGCGTTCCACTTGGGAGGTGTTCCACTTACAGAGGTGTTCCACTTAGCAGGTTCTACTGTACATTACTTGTGCATGATGACCACCATAGTCTAGTTGCTCAAATGAGATCAATTGATGATGATGATAATGTTTAGACTTTATGTCAATGTCCAGACTGTATGCCAACCTCTCTAGTATGTGATTACACTAGATTTCATTATGATACATGTACTAAATTGAAAACTTAATTACATATAAAATATCTTAAGTCCTATATTCTAGTAATAAATGAATTAGAATGTCACCTAACATTTGATGATGGTATGAATTTATTGATTTGGTGTCTATCAATACACGTTTCTAACTTAATGCTGCAAAATGATAAAATTCACCACATCCACTTTCTTCAATTTTCCAGGGGTAGGGCACTATAAAGTCATATTAAAATTACAAAATAGTACTTCATAACTAAAATAGATGTATTACAATACCACACATAGCTTGGAAATGTTTTTAGAATACTACTATGAGCTGTTAAAGCTGTCATATTGTGCTTGAAGCTACAAATATAAAATTGGCAAGACAAAAATTGCGTATATTTTTCCTGTTTTTTGTATTTTTCTGAGACCAATAAGGGTATCAACCTATAACTTTAGGATAGTATTCATATTTGTACTAGCAATGTATGGTGTACAACTCAGAACAATAGCTCATATATCCTTTGAGTTATGAACTAGTTTCATAGTACCCCCTAGAATATTTTCCTAGGGGGGTAAAAATGCCAAAATTTAGTGTCGTGACCACCCCGTTGAGCTGTCATCTTTTAATATCTTTATCAGCATGAAAAACTGATCTAGTAAAAATAGGTCTGTTGCTTTTTCTAAAAAATGCCTCAAAAACTTGAATTATTTGAATTGGAACCTGTCTAGTAGGTACAAGATAGAATTCATCCAGTGATCGCAAATCATCAATTGGTCACAGTTCAGAAAATTTCCAACCAACTGAACCGTTGAATTATTTTAGAATATGCATGTTCAGTTTTTTGGGTTTTTGGCGCCCCGTTTTTTGGCCTTGGTCGCATTTTCCTGTTCT